TTTCTTTCTTTCTTTCTTTCTTTCTTTCTTTCTTTCTTTCTTTCTTTTTTCCTTCCTTCCTTCCTTCCTTCCTTCCTTCCTTCCTTCCTTCCATGTTTATTTTTGAGTGAGAGAGAGCAAGCAAAAAGAGAGAAAGAGAGAGAGAGACAGAGAGAGAGAGAGAGAGAGAGACAGAATCCGATGCAGGCTCCAGCTGTCAGCATAGAGCCTGACACTGGGCTTGAACTCATGGACCGTGAGATCATGAGCTGAGCAGAAGTAGGACCCTTAGCTGACTGAGCCACCCAGGCGCCCCAAGTCTCTGTTTTTTTTCAAGATTGTAAAGAATAGAAACTTGACTCAAATCAGCTTGAGCTAAGAAGGAAGCTTCTTGGATACTAGGTTAGCTCACAAAATTGAGGGAAATGCTGGCCAACAAGTTTGAGGAAAGCCGAAACTGGGAACCCTCCCAGATCCCCAGATGCTGCCTTAAGGACCTGCCCTTGGTATGTCAGTCTGTTTCTGCTTCCTGCCTCCATCTATCTCAGGCTCTCTCCCTTTTCGTCTGTGAATGATGTGCTAGCTCTCACCAGAAAAGTGGAATTGTGTCTACCAGGTAGGCCTAGGCTTACATTTTCCTCAGTTCGAACATTAAAGGTCTCACAGAAGAACTCTGATTGCTCCTTCGTGGGTCACATGCTTGCCCTAGAGTGGGGACTATGGCTCTTGTTCAGGAGAAGATAAGAAGATGGCCATCCCATTGAGGCATTTCAAGCTCTTGGGTAGAGAGAACATGGAAGAGGACAGAAGAGAAGAGTGAGAACCAGTATGTGGATCACCTACTGCTGGGAAACCAACGGCTACAAAATCTCAATGGTAAAATATAATAAGTATTTATTTTTTATGCATTTGCAGGTTGGCCAGAGGTTGACTGATACAGACCAGGGAGCTCCGCTTTAAGTGGCAGATCTGGCTGAAAAGTTCTTTGGTGGGTTAAACTCAGGCATATTCTATAAATATGCCTTATTCTAGTGACCAGGCTGAACGCGAAGCTCTCCTTATGGCGGTCGCAGAGGTGCAAGAGAGGAAGTGGAAGGCCATGACGCATCTTAAGGACCAGACTCAGAAGTGGCACATTGAAATCTACACCATTCTACTGGGTAAAGCAAGTTACGTCCCTGAGCATAAAGTCAAAGAGTACTGTACCACTAGTGGGAAGGACCAAAGCAGGCAAAGGGCAAAGGGCATGGATACAGAAAGGGGTGAAGATAAGGGACCGATGATTCCAATTACTAGAGGAATGACTTTTCGAAGGAAGGATGATATAATTTCCACAAGAAGGAACAGGTGCTAAGCAAACAAAACAATAATGCTCATTATTGTCTCCCTGGTTACGCTATAACTTTTGTGCACACAGAAAATGTGGTTATATACCTGTTTCTGTAGGCCCCATCTCACACGGTGCTTGGCACACAGAGAGCAGTGAGAAATTGTACGTTGAATTTAACGTAAGCAATCAATGGGTTATAGAGGACAGGCACCTCAATCATCTCCTCTAAGGACTTGAAATCTCCTTGAGGGGGTTAAAGTTCAGATACACCGTTGGCACAAAACAGAAAGAAATATATGCTCCTTTAGTTCAGCCAATATGCTATGGGCATGATGGAGAGGGAGAGATGATTTCCAACTAGGTAAGCTCAGGAAGTGGCCTCGGAACGGGTGGGATTTAAGCAGAACTTTAAAGGGATGGAAGGGACTCTCAGCACGTACTACATGCCAGCCATTCAACTAAGTGGAGGCCGTGATCTTATTCCCCTTCGTCGAGAGGGAGGAGTATTCTCCTGACTTTCCACATGGGCTCTTTTAAGTCGAATGTCTACAGCTATCCAGCTAGAAGGTGACAAAGCCTGATTTGGACACAGAAATCTAGTCCGTCGTCTTCTCATTGTCTGTGTCTTGCTCGGTGACTGACAGGACAGGTGTTCCGTAAACGTGACTTGAACAAGTGGGCGAATGTCGGGAGCTCTGTTCTCTTTTTTCAAACCTTTGGCAAGTGGAGAAGTCAGGAAAAAGAGCTGAGACAAAGGCAATAGTCTGGGTCCCCTGGAAGAACAGCGAAGGCACAACTCAGAAATAACCAACGGATGTGTGTGACTAGAGTGTCACGTTTATGGAACACATGGCAAGCCACAGGCTAGCAAGATAAATTGGGGACAAGCATGGAGCGGAGGGTGTATGTGTCATTCTGTCTGCAAGTACCTGTTAGGGCCATGGGTACAACCCAACATACGACTCACAGGTAACAGTTGATGATGCATTAGGGCCAGACTGCAGATGCTATGCAGCATGTAACGATTTGGAGCCAGTGCCCCCCCCCCCCCCCCCCAATTTCTTACCATCAGCATGTTGACGCAGGAAAGGAGTGCACTTAATTGGGAAAACAAGCTATTTCTTAATCCCTGTAAGCTTTCCGAATGAGCAGAGTCTGGCTAGCCATTCTTCTACCCTTGCAAGCAGAAAGAAGGCTGGACTTCCTGGGGAACGGAAAGTACGCAGACTGCTGAGATAAACCGCGATTCACTGCTGCTGAATGTACCACACGTCAGCCCACCTCCTGCCACTGCAACTCCGCACAGAGAACAGAACAGTCTCGCAGAGAAAGGAACAGTCTCAGGTGAAGAGGAATGCCAGCCTCACCGCAGAGAAAGGGGAGCCAGTCTTGTGTGTGGGTGTGGGTGTGATTAGGCAGCCGGGTTCTGAGGCTTCGAAGGGAAAAGAGAGAGAGCTGAGACACCGGTCCCGACCCTAATTTCTAACGCTCTGTCATCAAACAACTATGTACGACCATCAACATCTTTTCCTTTCGCTTTGAAAGGCAGGAGTTCAGAGTCCAGTTTATAATTCTTAACACAAGGCCTCTGTCCAATGCAGAGGACAGCTCTTTCATTGTTAGTCTATACACTGGCTCTTACCCCACTCTGTTGGTTAATAGGAAATGACAGTAAACAAAGCTTGCTCAAAGAGAGAGAGAGAGAGACAGAGAGAGAGAGAGAGAAAACCACTGTACTGACTTTGCAGATAACAACCAGACAATTTAGTAACTGTCATGCTATAATGGGGCTCTGCTGGGGGCACATGTCTAAATAGACATGTGAATATTTGGGGGTAAGTGATTTTGAGTGGTTGAGGGGGTAGAGGTTAAAATATTTTAATTTCTTACTTCCTTCAGGAAGAACCCATTCAGCACCCGACTAAAAAATGATCTCATAGGGGCGCCTGGGTGGCTCAGTCGGTGAGCATCTGACTTCGGCTCAGGTCATGATCTCACGGTCTGTGAGTTCGAGCCCCGCGTCGGGCTCCGTGCTGACAGCTCAGAGCCTGGAGCCTGTTTCAGATTCTGTGTCTACTCTCTCTCTCTGCCCCTCCCCTGTTCATGCTCTGTCTCTCTCTGTCTCAAAAATAAATAAACGTTGGGGCGCCTGGGTGGCACAGTCGGTTAAGCGTCCGGCTTCAGCCAGGTCACGATCTCACGGTCCGTGAGTTCGAGCCCCGCGTCAGGCTCTGGGCTGATGGCTCGGAGCCTGGAGCCTGTTTCCGATTCTGTGTCTCCCTCTCTCTCTGCCCCTCCCCCGTTCATGCTCTGTCTCTCTCTGGCCCAAAAATAAATAAATGTTGAAAAAAAAAAAAATTAAAAAAAAAAATAAATAAATAAACGTTAAAAAAAAAATGATCTCATAGGCATGAGTGGTCTAATATGGTAGCCACTACCTACATTATGGCTACTTAAATTTATATTAAATTCACTTAAATATTTAGTTACTCATCTAGGAGCTACTATATTGGATAGCATAGATACAGAGCTGTCTATACTACAAACATTCTATTGGAAAGCCCTGTGATATACTAATGGTGGCCATCCCCTTTAGCACTGCAAGCCCCCTCGTTCTGTTAAGTTAACGTCCGGGAAAATTATTGGCAGATAGCAGAAGCTGTCAACACAGGGGCTTGCCAAATCTAGTAAGGAAGCCACCTGTTCATTTCCAAGATTTAGAAAGAGGCCTGCCCATCGAGGATCCATGCTCTTTTTATGCTGATGACCTACAGGCCACCCTGTGTTGTAGGCTGGAAGAGAGATGTCACATGATGAAGTGGAAAATGCCCTGGAATGGGATTCCGAGGACATGGGTTCTCACTTCGGTTCCATGACCAGTTTTGTGCCTTGTCCTCATAGCCTCTCTGAGCCTCAGTTTCTGGATCGATAAAATGGAGATAACCCAACGAATCTGGCTGGTTAAGTAAATATAAAGGTAGAACACCCTAACCAAACACTAGAAGTTATACTTGCACAATGCTGCACTGGTAGCATGCCTTCTGGAATTGTGGCTCTAAGACTGTAGGGTGGACACGGGGCCTTCTGGCCCTAGATACTCTCACTCTGATTCTTCTATGAGGATTTCTGGGATGTCTCCTGTGGGCTACTGTCTCTTTGAGGATGTCAGCAGATGTCATCTGTCATCTTGAGTCAATTAAGAAAGATGGATGTGACCTTCCCTCGTATTCAACAGAAAACTTCACAGGTCCTTGTGGATCACCCAGGGCTCATCAGGACACAGGCATTGCCACATGTCACACCTATGGATGAGGCTATGTAGTCCACGTACCTGGAAAGGGCAACTTCAACCAAGAGGCTCCTGAAGGAGAACCTGGTGAGTTGTCCTAAATATTACCAACTTCAAAATGTCCCAAACATACCTCAAAATGAACAACTTAGAAACATCAGGGGTCATTGCATATTTATTGCCAGGTAAACTGATTATTTTTAGAGGTGAAAAGTCCTAATCTTTAAGTCTAGGAATGGACCATCGAGTCTTGCTTACCTGTTCCATGAGAATGAAAGACCTTCTTTGTCTTCATCCACTTTGTGATTTGGGATCCTACTTTTTGGATCCAAAGAAATTAGCAGTTCACTACTGTGTGCGAAAGGAAGAGATGCTGCTAATATTCCTCCGTCGAATAGAGTTACTTTGTGCCTACTTAACTTGCTTGTCTTCGAGTTGCTCCAACAAGCATGATCATGGACCACTGAAAGGTCCGCCATGTTGCTGGTGGGGGTGGTGGGGGTGGTGGGGGTGGTGGGGGTGGTGGTGGGGCGGATACAGCTATACTCTGGGTTTTGAATGTTCCTTTAGAATAGAGAGGATATTCACCACAGGGCTGTGGTCCTCAAACTTTAGCATGATCAGACTCACTTAAAGCTTGAATTGCCTGGCCCCACTCAAAGTTGCTGATTTAGGTGGCCGGGGGTGGGTCCGAGGTAGGGCTAGAGAATTTGTGTAAAAATTTGTTTTAATGTTTATTTTCTTTTGAGAGAGACAGAATGTGGGTGGGGGAGGGGCAGAGAGAGAGGTGGACACAGAATCTGAAGCAGGCTCTGGACTCAAGTCGTCAGCACAGAGCCTGATGCGGGGCTCAAACTCACAAACCATGAGATCATGACATGAGCCAAAGTCAGACACTTAACTGACTACGCCCCCCAGGCGCCCCGAGAATTTGCATTTTTAATGGGTTCCTAGATGCCATTGCTGCTGGCCCCAAGACTACACTTTGAGAATCACGACTTTTAAGACTTTTCAAACTTGATCCCGCGTGGACACATTCAAGAGAAAGCGTATTTCCCAAAGTGTGTGTTTTCTTATGCCCGATAGCAACTCAAGTAATTTAGGCGAATAATGATTAACAGTTAATACTTATGTAGGTTTACTGTGTTACAGGCACGGTTCTACGTGCTTAAATACATGAACTCATTTAATTCTCGCAAAAGGTGTATAAGAGAACTATTATACCGTCATCTCTATTTGGCCAATGTGGCCAGAGAAGTAACTTTTCTGAGGTAACGCAGCCAAAGCGAAAAGTAGGGCTGGGGTTTGAACGCGGGCGTCCTGGCACCAGAGGCTAGAACCACTGCACGACGCTGCCTCTCCCTCCCACCCCCGTTTTCCCCATCTTTGTCCTCACCCCAGGGCAGAGAGAGGACAATGTTCCTTTAAGAGAGCACTACCGGGAGCCTCCCCTAAATGCAATGCTGACACCCTCCATACTGTTGGCCGGTAGCCTTGGTCAAGTTTATTTTGAATACCTATAACTGTAACAGAGCACAGTTTCTTATCGGCTACACCTTGACATCTCGAAGAGTAGCTTCGACTTAGTAATTATTTTACACAGGGTGGAGAAGGATGCAACAAATAGAAGAATGGAAACCTGAGTGAAGGAAGAGAAATAGTAAACAGGAAAGAGAAAATAATAAGGCAATAGGAAGAAGGGTAAAAATAACCAGATGGAAAGGTCGAGGGAGATAAAACGTGGGAAATAAGGACGCTACAGGAGAAAAAAAAAAATCCTCAAAACCAAGTATGCATGATAGAAAACTTAAACTCTGGGCAGATGTCACCCTGAGAAAACAGAAATATAAGGAGTAGAAACCGGTTAAGACGAGAGAATACAGGAAACAAGGAGGGGAAATTAGGGTGCCATTAATTGGATTTTGAACTCCAGTTATTATAATTGGGCATTTAAGCTATATCAACATTATTCTTCGTCTTTAGAATATTTTGCAATCTTTCAAAATACAGGAAATGCCATTTGGTTTTGTCCCAACTCTGGCCACTCAAGTTCTGGTTGCTTGTTTATTTTTTCCCGAGCAAAAGAAGTTTCACTAAAGGTTGGCATGTGGGATAAATCTCCGAGAGGAAAGAAGGGGAAATAACTCAATGGGAAGGAAGGATTCATTATGACAAGGGCCAGGTCAGGGAAATGGCCACATCGCTGCATTCCTGAGAGGAAAGGCCTGCGGAAAATGAAACCTGCAATACGGCTGTTTGCTCTGCCCTGGGATCGAGTTGGGGTCGCTTCAGAGGCCAGCCACTGAGCCCAAGACTCTGAACGTTCTGTTTTAGATTAAGAGCTGGGTTCACACAAGGGGTACAGGGTGGGGAAGAGTGTGGATGATGTCAGCTCCAGTCTGAGGGCCCGCGTCCTGCACGGGAGCATCTCATCACGCCGGAGCCTCTCTAGAAGGTGGCTGTTCCATGAAATGGGGCAACGGATGGCAGGTGGGGAGGAGGGCAGCATTCACCTGTTACGTTACCTCCTGAAATCAGTCGTCTGGTTCGTTTCTACACGTTTCTCCTTTGAGGTAGTAGGAAGCTCTTAAATTTGAAAATGAAATGCTCACAACACTTATTGTCTCTCCCTCAGAACTAACTCCTATCGAGCTCCGTACCGTACAGGGTGACTTTTCCTGCGAAGTCTTTCAGAAGCTGTCCTCTGGGGATGCCTCTCCCTCTTCCCCCGGCTCCCTCGGTCCTGGGGGGAGAGTGATCTGTGAGGCCATATTTCTGTGTTTCATTGAATCTAAGACAATGTTGAGTATCAGAAAGAGGCCTCGTTATTTCATGTGTCGCTGAGAAAGAAAAAGCCTGCTTACTCAACCATGAGACATCGTCAGTTACCAGATTTATCTCAACTGGGGAGAAGTTACAAAATGTTAAACAAAAGCTGTGTTAGGATCCATGAAGTGTGGAATCTCCTCTATTAGACTGGAAGCTCTTTGCAAGTAGTGACTGTGCCTTACTCTCTCGTCTCTTAAGTCACCCCCAGGGCAGAGAATACCTTTTTGTATTTCCAAAGCTATCTTGCTAACAGCTTTAAATTGAGAGAGAGAGAGAGAGGGAGAGGAGAGAGAGAGAATCTGTGTTTGATTATGCATTTGCATAGCACACTGCACTCATTTTGTCCTTAAATTTCCCCAAGACATTCAGGCACCGGGCACGTACTGAATTTTTCCCCGGCATATAATTGATCGGCCCGGAGCTGTGCTATGGCATAATTCACAATCGCATCACTCGTAGGAGTTAAAAGCAGAACCTGAAGCTAGGTCTGAGTTTAGCCTTTTTCTGCGCTTTCCACGTTCGAGACGCAGCAGAAAGTAGAAAGGTACACTGTCCACCTTATTCCAGTTACTGAGAAAAATGCTGCATCTGAGTAGAAAAGAAGGAAAGTTCCCGTGCTTCCGTGTGCTGCAGCAGAGGCTCCCTCATTTTATCTCTGCGGCAGCTACCTGTCAATGCGCGGTGCTCAGAGCTGATGGTGGGGAGTTTGTATACACCAAAGCTATCTAAACAGGCCATTAAGTGGTAGTAAAGTAACACATGTGAACGACAGGTCAATAAATCCCCAACAACTTACGTTGCCTCCAAGGAGCTGGCTGTTGCTGAGTGTTGTTGTGTTTACATAAAATCAATTTCACAAGTGATCTTAAATAATTAGGGAAGATGCCGTCATACAGAGGATA